TAACATACTCAGGAGAGGGATTTTATTTATTTATTTACGCTATTTATAGCCCACCTTTCTCAGCCATACGGCGACTCAAGGCGGGTTACAGGCTGGCACAATTCAATGCCATACATTCACAAAAGAGCAATGAAAAACAATCACCATAACAATATAAAAACATATATAAAAGCCAATAAAACATTTTCCCCTCTCAGTCTCACCACTGTCACAGATTGTTTTGTGAGGACGTAGGAAATACTCTTTTTTAAAGACAACCCCTTGCAGACTGACTGTACTCCTGCAGGTTGACCTTACTCAGCACTGTTACTCTCTGGAACAAATCAAAAGACTGGAATGTATTCTCCACAGACATGCTTTTCAGAACGGGCAACAACAGCCTTCAAGGCCAATGTGGAGCCAACAACACAACCTGAACTCCCAAAACCTTATTTTATTAAGCACCTTTTGCATTATTGGCATAGCATACACTCAGCGTTTTGGCCGCATCACTGCTAATGCACCATCCATTTCTTTTCTCATATGTCCATATATTGAAATCAATCTTAGTAATTTGAAATTATCTCCAGAGACAAACAGACTTACTGAAAACTTCTCATATTGCCTTTGCAGCCCATTTAAAATTTACTGGATCAAATTTCACTTTCAGACCTAATTTTTTGCCTGTTTAGGAAATCCACTCTCTGGTTTCCAGTTCCTTATAAATTAACAGCTGTCTTCAACTCCAACTCTGACCATTCTTTATGATATTGTTTCCAGTGCCCACTTTTTGCTTGATATTCAGGCAGTGCTTGTGACAGGTTAGAGAATGGTCCTGGGTAACTCCTGGATATTTGGGTGTGCTTCAATGCTCCAGTGGGATTCCTTCCCAGGTAATCCTCAGAGCTCGAGGTGCTACAAAGTGGAAAGTGTCTGTTCTTAAGATGAAAAGCACATGTGTTTTAGATGGATTAGGAATCAGCTGGTTTTCCCTGTAATAGGCAGCAAGAGCACCTAGAGTAGTGTTTCTCAACCTGTGGGTCCCCAGGTGTTTTGGCCTACAACTCTCAGAAATCCCAGCCAGTTTACCAGCTGTTAGGATTTCTGGGAGTGGAAGTCCAAAACATCTGGGGACCCACAGGTTGAGAATCACTGACCTAGAGCTTTGGAGAGCTTCTGTTCAATCATCTCAAAGCTCCCTGCTTGAGGGTGATGGCACGGTCGTCAGCACAGATGAAAACTCTGTCCCTTCTGGCAGTGGCTGGTCATTTGTGTAAATGTTGAACATTGATGGGGCAAGCATGCTCCCCTGAGGCAGGCTGTTCTGTTTTCGCCATCTGCTTCTTTGGCCCTAGAATTCAACAAAAAGCTCCTGTTTTGTAGCAGATTTCCTATGAGGCGGGTGAGGTGGTAATCTTTTGTGATATATATTTTTCTCAGGAGGAGGCAATGGTTTACAGTATCAGAAGCTGCTGACAGCTCCTGTGATCTCCTGCCTTTCAAAGCCATCTTCGATGTGCTGTGTCAGGTTCAGCACATATCAAACAATATCATACAAAAGCTGACTGGCACAACCTGGGGATCACAACCAGATACAGTGAAGACATCTGCCCTTGCGCTTTGCTACTCTACTGCTGAGTATGCATGCCCAGTGTGAAACATATCTCACCGCACTAAAACAGTGGATGTGGCTCTTAATGAGACATGCCACATTATCACAGGGTGTCTGTGCCCTACACCACTGGAGAAATTACACTGTTTAACCGATATTGCACCACCTGACATCCACTGGGAAGTAGCAAGAAATAGTGAAAGAACCAAGGCAGTGACATCTCCGGCCTATCCCGTTTGGATATCAGCCAGCAAGCCAACGACTTAAATCAAGAAATAGCTTTCTAAGAACTACAGAGACACTCGCTGGAACAACTCAGCAAGTGAGAGTCCAAAAGTGGCAGCCTAAAAACCAGAATCTCAATCAATGGCTGATACCAAATGAGAGACTCCCTCCTGGGCACACAGAAAACTGGGCGACTTGGAAGGTGCTGAACAGACTGCGCTCTGGCACCACGAGATGCAGAGCCAATCTTAAGAAATGGGGCTACAAAGTGGAATCCACGACATGCGAGTGTGAAGAGCAAACCACAGACCTACTACAATGCAACCTGAGCCCTGCCACATGCACAATGGAGGACCTTCTTATAGCAACACCAGATGCACTCCAGCTACTGGTCAAATGACATTTAATAAAATGCCAAGTTTGCAAACTTTGTATGTGTTTTTTTTTAAAAAATACAATACAACTGTTTGGTTTGTTCCTGACATGATAAATACTAAATACCATTCTTAATTAGCAGCCTGGCCATATCTCCCCAATGCTAACATATTGGCATCTGCTGCCATTGTTATTGCCTTTGTGGCACAAATGTATTGCCCTTGTCTAATGCTTTCCTGGATTACCACATCAAATTACATAGTAATGATATTTTCTCATTATGTCCCTTTAATAAAGTCTTGGGAACTTCCTACCTGTGAGAGCTGTTCAGCAGTGGAACTCTCTGTCCCGGAGTGTGGAGGAAGCTCCTTCTTTGGAGGCTTTTAAACAGAGACTGGATGACCATCTGTCGGGGGTGCTTTGAATGCGATTTTCCTGCTTCTTGGCAGGGGGTTGGACTGGATGGGCCACGAGGTCTCTTCCAACTCTATAATTCTATGATTCTATTCCTCTCTTTCTTTTGGCACACAATCCCTTTTTGTCTTTTGAACCATTGGCAACATGTACCTTTTATCTTTCCTGTCTACTAAAACAGTTTTGAAGCCTCCTCTCCAAACCAAAAAAGTGGTTATCATATTGGTCCTTTACTTTTGCTCTGTGTCCCAATGCTTTAACCACAAAGGCCTCCTGCTTCTCATGGTTGCCATTATTGATCTGGCCATTACTGATCTGGCTGCAAAAACCGTAGCATCATCATTAGCATCAGCCACAGCCTGCAGTACTTTCTCTAATTTGTCCAGTGCACACAGTAACATCTGAGCAGAAATATCATCCCTGGAGCCCATAACATTCCAGGTCTTACAAACAGCGATGCAGTTACTAAAGGTGTGATGGACAACACTGCAACTTCCTTTGCTTTTCTGCATGCAGCATCTATTAATTTTTATCTACATCCTTCAGTGCTATATCACCTTTCCATGGGAGAACAGCATAAGAAAATAAATGAGAGACAGGATCATCAACCAATGGAATTGACAAATGGTTCATGACATCTTTTCCATTTTTCCTGAAGCCAATAAACAGCTTGGGATTTAGAAAACTCTCTTTCTGTCTCAATCAAGTCCTTAAACCTTTTCAACACTGAAAGCTGAATTGATTGAGTTGGCATTTTCTAAATAACAGCAACTAATTACACTGTCTAACACAGGAGTCCTCAAACTAAGGGCTGGGGGCCGGTTACAGCCCTCCAAGGTCATTTACCTGGCCCTCGCTCAAGGTCAACCTAAATCTGAAATGACTTAAAAGCATACAACAACAACAACAACAACAACAATCCTATCTCATCAGCCAAAAGCAGTCCCACACTTCCCATTGAAATACTAATATGTTTATATTTGTTAAAATTGGTCATTTTAATTATTGTATTGTTTTAAAGTGTTTTTTGCACTACGAATAAGATATGTGCCGTGTGCATAGGAATTCATTCATGTTTTTTCAAATTAGAATCTGGCCCTCCAACAGTTTGAGTAACTCTGACCTGGCCCCCTGTTTAAAAAGTTTGAGGACCTCTGGGCTAACAAGATGTTTGTCCCTGGGTTGTAAATGTCGTTTCCTAATGAGTTCTATCATAAAAAAATGGGGAAACAAGACAGAGGTCCTCCTGGTCAGTTGCACGACCGAACAGGGCATAGGGTTACAGCCTGTTCTGGACAGGGTTACATTCCCCTTGAAGACACAGGTTTGCAGCTTGGGAGTGATCTTGGACTCTTCGCTGAGCCTGGAACCCCAGGTATCAGTGGTGGCTAGGGGAGCTTTTGTACAACTAAAACTTGTGCGGAGTTGCACCTGTAACTTGGGAAGTCTGACTTGGCCACGGTGGTCCACGCTTGTTACGTCCCGAATAGATTACTGCAACACACTCTACATGGGGTTGCCTTTGAAGACTGCCCGAAAGCTCCAACTAGTTCAACAGTCAGCAGCCAGGTTACTCACTGGAGTGGCATACAGAGAGCATATAACCCCTCTGTTACGCCAACTCCACTGGCTGCCTATCTGCTACTGAGAACAATTCAAAGTGCTGGTCTTAACCTTTAAAGCTCTAAACGGTTCTGGCCCAGATTATTTGTCCGAATGTATCTCCCTTTACAAACTATCACAAAGTTTAAGATCAGCTGGAGAGGCTCTGCCCTTGATCCCAGCACCATTGCAAACGTGACTGGTGGGGATGAGAAACAGGGTCTTCTCAGTGGTGTCCCCTCGCCTGTGGAACTCTCTCCCCAGTGACATCAGATTGGCTACCTCCCTCTTGTACTTTAGAAAAACCCCCTCAAAATCTGGTTATGGGACCAAGCATTTGAACAGTAGCAGCAGCAATCGGGAGTAATACCCAATATGATATGTATGTCAACGGACTATCCCAGGCACTGATTTTAAACCAGAGTGATTTTAATAAAATGTTTCTTAATATTTTAATGAACTGTCTTTAAATATGTTAATATGTTTTATAATAGTGGCTAGCATTCAAATGAGTGCTTGTTGTGAAGCCACCCTGAGTTGTTCCCGACCCCCCCCCCCGCCCGAGAAGGATGGGGTACAAATGTATGAAATAAATAAATCAAGACATGTAACAACAGTGTATGTTCTCCTAAAATACAATGTAGAAAGACAGGAGTGCCTTTTGGACAAACAAAATAGAAGAGCAGGACTCCCCAGTTTATTTTAAACTGAGTAATAAAAATGGTTTTTTAAGCTAAAATTTGAGAATGACAAAGTAGAAAGACATAAAAAGAACAGCAGAAAACACAAAAAGAAAAGTAAATGTTTTATAAAATGGTATGGTTTACAGTTTAGGACTCAGGACACCAGTAGAGACCATAAGGTTCCTATCTAAGTCCTTTTCCATCTCAGATTTTCCATGGACAGTCCAGAGGGCTGTTTGATGTCCTTTAAAAGTGCCTCCCTCAGTTCCAGGATCAAGTATGCATTGGCCATACCTACTGGACATATGAGCAGCTCCTCCAGAGATCAGATGAGTCCTGAGCCACCCTGGCTTTTCCTGAAGATTTCTCCAGTTGGGGAAGAGGAAGGACAAACCAAACAGGGTCAAGCGATAGCCTTGAGGAGCACACCTTAAGGATTGGCTCTCCTGCCTTCTCTCCCTATGTATGAAGCCCTGCAGACTGAATGAAGCAATCTGATTTTGGCTCATGAGTCAGAGGTCCCTCATCCTTGCCTTCAGCAGTTATTTCAGGAAACAACTGTCAACAGTTTGTTAGGAATTCATCCATCGTCGTCATCACTGCTGCTCCAGGCATCTTTATATGCAGGGTTCTGTTGATGCTGTTGGGACAACTAAAAGAAAAAGGAAGAACAACCATCTTACAGTGGAAAGATTGTTTGACAATGGGAACTCTTTTGGCCTGTATCTGTCATTTCCATTTTAAACAGTTTTGTATATTTGTATAAGGAGCTCCCGGTGGCGCAGGGGGTTAACTACTGAGCTGCCGAATTTGCTGATTGAAAGGTTGGTGGTTAAAATCTGGGGAGCTGGGGGAGCTCCCACTGTCAGCCTCAGCTTTTGCCAACCTAGCAGTTTGAAAACATGCAAGTGTGAGTAGCTCAACAGGTACTGCTTTGGCGGGAAGGTAACAGCATTCCATGCAGTCATGCTGGCCACATGACCTTGGAGGTGTCTATGGGCAACACCAGCTCTTGGGCTTAAAAATGGAGATGAGCAGCACCTCCCAGAGTTGGACATGACACGGCTTAATGTCAAGGGGAAACCTGTTCTAGCTTAGGTAATATTGGCTTAATAGATACAAATATTTCTTTAAAAACATTCCTACTAGGTGTCTGCTCCTTTTCTCAGGCACTTAAATAGCTAAAAACAAATATGACCTTTCAGCCAATTATTTTTTAGTTTTGCAACCCACTTCACTCTGTGGTTCATTCTTAAAATATTCTGGCAAAATGGCTGAGTGAAGAATAGAATAGTGAGCAGAAGCAATGGGGGTTTAGATAGCCAGCAAAACTAAGAGCCAGAAATAATAGCTTTGGTCATGCAGACAATGTGTCTTATTTTGTACACATAACAGTGGCCACACAGTATCCTGAAACCTAAGACTGTATTACATCATCTGCACAGTAAATAATACTACTAACATTTATATAAGATATCTGTGCCACAGGTATTGAGTTCCAAGCACAAATTGAGATCCAAGACTATGTTCAAATTTGTAGAGCTGTGACACCTATCACTTCACTCAGTGCAAATATTTTCTTACACTGTTTCCAAGTGCTCAGTGAAAATGCACACTAGCTTTCATATAGATACTCTAAACCTAGTCTTGCTATTTACCTCTTCAGATGTATCATCTGGTTCCGGCTCTCTCAAAGAGGGCACCCAGGCAAGGATATTGCCATCTCTGCCACTGCTATACAGCTCCTGCCATTAAAAAATTAAGAAATGTGGAATGTTGAAAGGCACATGTTGACTAAGACAAACATGAATTGGAAATATACCTCATTAAAATTTAAATGTTATTGCATTTGATTTGGAAACTTTTGGATTATGGAGGAAACCATCTTATACCTTAAATATAAGGTGTGACAGAAAATGTAGAGAAACCAGAGACTTCAGTGGTCACCTAGAATAAACCTACAGAACCTATATTGTTCGTAACCTGGAGATTGCCTGTATTTCAGATCAAGGCATAAAGGTGGCAAATAGGATAGGGTAAAGCCTGCCCTCAGTGATAGAGCAAATATCTTGCCTAAAGGAAGGTCTCAAGTTTGAATGCTAGCAAATCCAACTGGAGACAGCAGATAAAGAAAATCCTTTCATCTTGGAAAGCTACTGCTTGTCAAATGAGACAATATAAATCGGAAGGACTAGCGTCCTAATAACTCCAATCATTCATAGCATGAAGAAACAGTGAAAAAAATCCCGCAGAAAGATTATCCACATGCAGAATCTTGTTGCAACATGCACAACACTCAAATCATGCAAAGCACTTACCTGAAGATAAGGCTGGAATACACAGCAGTCAACTGAACTAAAATGTCCTCTAAGGATAGTCATTAGTTCTCCTGAATAAACTGTATAAATGGCAATAGTACTATTGTACGGCACAAATGCAAATTCTGGACTACAGCCACAAGAGACAGTGAATTTGAGTCCTTTTCTGCTTTCGTTGCACACTTTCCCATAGTTTACCTGTAAACATGGAAGATGACAAAGTTAGCTCCTAATATGACATAATGTCTACCTGTTAATAGTTCATTACTTTCTAAAAGTGGAACTTAATCCCGATAACTGGACTGTCAAATATATTATTTTGTTATTCTGCCATTGCTCCACAATAGCCTTCTCAATTATTACCAGAATTTAGAAAAAATAACATGCATGACTAAGCAGTTAAAAAAGATGCAGAAAAATATAGTTCTCTCATTTAAAGAAAACATAACCTGATTTTTATTATTCAAGAAAAGAACACAAAAAACTTCAATAAATGTAAGAGGTCTGACTAGAGATTTGGCAGCAACGTTATAGAAAACACAGGACAGATTGAATTCTGAACTTCTTATTGATCTGCTGTCACTGATACTATCAATCTTGATATTCAATGTAACAAATGGATGTGAAGCTGCCTTTTATTGAATTGGTCCATTTAGCTTAAAACGATTTATAGCAGTTATGGGGAAAGTGCATCACATAGACACTATGAGATCCCCAAGCCTATTTTTATGAGTATTATGACTCCTGCCAGAAAAAAGATGGCAAGAAATGTATTTTCCCTACTTATTCCAGAAGCTCTAAGGAGCTTCTAGAATACAATACAATTAGTATTGTATTGTATTCTAAAGTGAAAAATAAAATACAATGGACTTTGGTAACTTTCTTTCCTTTTCACCACATTTGTTTATTTTTAAGGTTCATTATATTATTTCCCTATGCCTTCTGAAGCTGCCCACTTTGGTCCTCACTGACTGCTACTGTCTCACTAGGGTTTCGGAAAGGATGTTTCCCACCCATCCTGCCGGAGAAGCCAGGGATCATATCTAGGACTTCCATGAATATAGTTTAAAAAATATGCCTCCCTTATGTTCAGCAGGATCTCCAAAAGAACTCAAAATTACATAGAGCATACTAGCAAATTACTGTGAATTTATGTCATGTAGAAGAACCATTGTGCAAGTTAGATAAGAGGTAATTTTTCAAGACTGGCTGAGACTATCTCTCTGAATATCAGCTGTTGTCTCTCTTTTTGGAATAAAATGTAAGAAATTAAAAACCTGTTTATAACTTACTAGGTGTGGTCATGGGAAAGCTTTTCTAAGTTGCAAAACTATGCAATTTAACCCCAAGATGTCATCAAAGCGCACAGCTATCACTCTGTCTCGTTCATGTTAGTCATGTGGACAAGGTGTTATATTGACTTTAACAAAGAAGAGCATCTATGGATTTTGGTATTCAATGTGCACTTTATTCACCCCACCTTGAATAGAAGTTAAATCAATTACTCTAACATTTTTAGCCTGTAGTAGAACTATTTCATTCCCAAGTTCGTTTTAATATCTTCTTTAGACGTGAACAGCTCAACAATATAAAGACATTAAGTAGAACACAAATATTTTAAATAAATTCATTACTGAACCCAAAAGATCATATTTTAAACCTCTCTCTCTCTCTCTCCCTCTCTCTCTCTCTCTCCATTCATCTATGTGTGTGGAGTTTGTTTCCAAAATGAACCAAATCCATCTGAACAAATATTGCAAGAACAATTAACAAAATTTGAGAATGTACCGTATATACTCGAGTATAAGCCAACCTGAATATAAGTTGAGGCACCTAATTTTATCACAAAAAACTGGGAAAACGTATTAAATTGAGTATAAGCCGAAGATGGGAAATGCAGCATCTACTGGTAACTTTCAAAATAAAAATAGATACCAATAAAATTACATTAGTTGAGGCATCAGTAGATTAAATATTTACATAAAACTGTAATTTAAGATAAGACTGCCCAACTCTGATTAAACCATTATTCTAACCTTCTTCAATGTAAATGTGCATATGTATCCTTCCAATCATAATAAAGAGAGTAAAATAATAAATGTAATAATAATAATAATAATAATAATAATAATAATAATAATAATGGAAATGTAATAATACTAGTAATAATATCATAAAATAATACATGTAATAACAATAATAGAGTAAAATTATAAATGTAATAAAAATAATAACAAAGGAAAATAATAAATAACGTTGACTTGAGTATAAGCCAAGGAGGACTTTTTCTGCCGAAAAAAAAAGCTGAAAAACTAGGCTTATACTTGAGTATATACAGTACATTATTTTACTATAAAATGCAATTTTCCAAGCCCTGTATCAAAGTAATTCGATACATTTTTATAGTTTTGATCTACGCCTAATATTTGACTTCTAGCCAACAATGTACTGCCACCTAAAAGTCATTTTTCATTTGGTACCTTTTGCAAACAAACTCTGCACATAGCTACAAAAACAAACACAACAAAACAAAACAGTAGTGTTAAACATGCCACTTAACCCCTAAACATTCTTGAACACTTCATCACTTGTTATTTGTTCAGTTCCTTCCGACTCTTTGTGATCTCATGGACCAGCCTATGCAAGAGCTTCCTGTTGGCTGTGGCTACCCCCAACTCCTTCAAAGTCAAGTCAGTTACTTCAAGGATAACATCTATCCATCTTGCTCTTGGTTGGCCCCTCTTCCCTTTTCCTTCCATTGGAACAACTAACTGTATTAAATGTGAATTTATTCTGCACAGGCCATAGGTTGCAACCCCCGCCTCCTCCAAACACTTCTCTCCTCACCACCTTCTTTGTGTATACAAATACACAAATTCTGCATTACAGATAAAACTGCAGCATCCTACCAATGTGTTCTTCCCACTGGAGCTGTTCCAGAGCCTCATGCGGTCATCTGTACCAGTTGTCAGAAGGTGAAGCCCATCATTTGTAAAGCACAAGCCATTAACTCTTCCATTGTGAGCAGTATTTACTGTCAAGAAAATGTGAACAATTTAGGTCAGATAAAGTTCATGGCAGTAGCAAACTAAATTCAACCCAACAACATTTTATTGCTATGTTGCAAGAAAACCCCTGCAGTATTTAAAGGGAAAAGGCCTCCAATTTGTGTTACGTAGCAGTGTTTTTTTTGCCAAGACTGAGACCAAATGCAACACGATTCCATTTTTAATGACACATAATATGTGGAAAAATTTCTCCTTACTCAACTTGTTTCTGAACTAAGAATTCCAGAAATAGTCATTTTCCCCATAGTTGAGCTGTTCATTATTGTTTTACAGTATGACCCTTTTTGAAATGTGCTGAATAGAACTATACACAGTATTCCATGCATGATTATGTGTATAAGGTGTATGTGAAACATAAATGAGTTTTGTGTTTAGACTTGGGTCCTATCTTTAAGCTATCTTATTATATATAAACAAATATTCTAAATTATTTTTAAAACATTATCCAACTCCAAAACGCTTCTGATACCAAACATTTCAGATCAGCTTTGCCAGTTTTATTTGCCATTGCTTTTCTTTTTCTTTTTTTTTTAAAAGATTTTTATTAAGTATT